CGATGGCCTCCAACCCAATAGAGATGGCCTCCGACCTAATAGCAATGACCTCCAACCTAGTAGCAATGACCTCGAACCAAATAGCGATGGCCTTCAGCCCAATAGCGATGGCCTCCAACCTCATAGCGATGGCCTCCAACCTAATAGCAATGGCCTCCAACCTAATAGCGATGGACTCCATCCTAATAGCGATGGCCTCCATCCTAATAGCGATGGCCTCCAACCTAATAGCAATGGCCTCTAACCTAGAAGCAATGGCCTCCAACCTAATAGCGATGGCCTCCAACCTAATGGCAATGGCCTCCAACCTAGTAGCAATGGCCTCCAACCTGATAGCGATGGCCTCCAACCTAACAGCAATGGCCTCCAACCTAATTAGCGATGGCCTACAACCCAATAGCGATGGCCTCCAACCTAATAGCAATGGCCTCCAACGTAGAAGCAATGGCCTCCAACCTCATAGCGATGGCCTCCAACCTAATAGCAATGGCCTCCAGCCTAATAGCAATTGCCACCAACCTTTGAGTAATAGCAATGGCCTCCAACCTAATAGCGATGAACTCCATCCTAATAGCGATGGCCTCCAACCTGATAGCGATGGCCTCCAACCTAACAGCAATGGCCTCCAACCTAATTAGCGATGGCCTACAACCCAATCGCGATGGCCTCCAACCTAATAGCAATGGCCTCCAACCTAGAAGCAATGGCCTCCAACCTAATAGGGATGGCCTGCAACCCAATAGCAGTGGTCTCCAAAACTATAGCGATGGCCTCCAAACTACTAGCGATGGCCTCCAACCCAGAAGCGATGGCCTCCAACCTAGAAGCGATGGCCTCCAATCTAATAGCGATGGCCTCCAACCTACTAGCGTTGGCCTCGAACCTGCTAGCGATGGCCTCCAACCTAGAAGCAATGGCTTCCAACCTACTGCTATTCTAAAACATATTTCATTCAAAACGTTGAGTTCTGATTTTCTCCTCTGCCTGAAGCAAGGTCAGGCGGGCTTCACGAACCGGGCGAAAGCCTGGTGTGAAAACTTGTCCGAGTAAAACTCCACACTCCGCAGGACTCCGCAGGGGTTGGAGTCTGGAAGTTTCTGGAAGTTTCTGGGCCGGTAGATGTCGGTTTTCCTGCGTAGCTGCTCTTTTTGAGTGTAAGCACAACAAATCAATGCACTCGCGCCATGTTTTGAAGCAACTCCTAGGGCCCGTCCCGCGTGACACGGCGTGGCACGGCATCTGGGAGATGTCGGTTGTCGACTTAGTCGGAACGACTTAGTCGGTAGTTGCGTCCTCGAGCTCCCGAGAGCGGATCCGTGGCTGTCCAAACAGCGGATGCAAATGTGAAGAAAAGGGCAAACAGGAAGCTACTAGTAACAAGTGCCACGCTAGTAGTAACAAGTGCCTTACTAGTAGTAACAATGTTTGCTACTAGTAACAAGTAAGTTTTCTTTTCCTAATCGAACCAAATAACGTGAGCTATCCTGCGTCCCAGCTAAGAGCGAACTTCTTCCTTACTTAATCAAGTAGACGCCTACCATCGCCTACTTCTTATATAAGTAGGAGTGTGCAAAAAGGACAGGATGACCCAAAAGTATCAACACCGCCAGAATGTGGCCTCCGGATCTTCGGTGGTCTGCACACAGTACTAGCCTTGCATGCTTTGCTGAAAGCATGTAAATAAATTTTTTTCCGCTTGCATGATCTCCATCAATCTGCTGATTTTCAACTGCTTTTAGCGCTTTCAAACATGCGGGTGACCAATACTCGCTAGCA